TGTGTTATTCAACTGTTACTATCCAATGTAGATGTTTTTCTTTTGTGCTTCATTGTGCTAATAATAAAAATACCTTTAAAAAGAAGCCTTTAATTAATTAATTAATTCATTCATTCATTCAGTTGATATGGCCTCCCCACTCACTGAAGCAACTTTGGGCAGCTAATGTAACATTAAAAACAGTAATCAAAAACCACAGAATAAAAAACATAGAATCCAGCCATCAGACACATCATACCACATCCCAGGAGGGGCACATGTAACATCCTGGCCCAAATGCTTAGGGGAAAAACCAGGATTTTAGTGTTTTCTGAAACACCAGCAGGGTTGGGGGCCAGTGAAATCCTGCAGGAGGAGGGGAGATCATTGGGAGTTGCTATAGAAAAGGCAGGCTTCCTCGGTCCAGCCAGACAACATGGATGCAAAGAAGGGACCTGGAGCATGCCCAGCCTGTAAGAGTGCATGGGACAGGACAATATAACTGGATATAGATATCCCATAAATAACCCAGGTATGTGCCCTGTAGGACTTTATAGGTGATGATAATCACCTTGAATTGCACCTAGAATTGGCCAGTTGGAAGCCAGTGCAACTTGCAAAGTAGGAGTGTTACATGGATGCATCAGAGTACTCTCATGACTACCTGTGCCACTGCATTCTGTAACAATTGCAGCATCCAGAGGGTCTTCAAGGGCAGCCTGATATAGAGCAGGGCTGCTGTATGATTTGGGAGCCTTTTGCCTTTCAGATGTTAGAGTCACAGAACCTGAAGGGGTCATTTAGTCCACTGAATCCAACTCCATGCTCATGGATTTCCGAGAGTTGTTTTTCAACAGAGACACGCAGGAAAGAGAATCTCCCCACATCTTTAGGTCATACATTCCATTGTTAAATTGCTCTTGGTGTTTTGAAGGCATTCCTAACATTTCATCAGAATCTGCTGCGCTGCAACACAAAATGGGAGTTTTCTGTATGGTATTCTGGTATGAGAATATAATACAGAATTCTGAGAATTCTGTGGAACGTCCCTTCAGATAACTGAAGTATGGGTGAAATGCCTTGTTACATTCTGGGAAATCTGAACTGCACTGGATATGCCTATCAGATGTTAAGAGAAGGAGAACCACCTTTCACAATTGTTTTCTTACCATGCAGTTATTCAGTAACTCTGCTCATAATTCAGTGGGAGGGAATAATTTGAAAACCATTTTGCTACCTAATTTATAGTATGAAATATTAGTAAGCATTCTACTTCCCTGATAGTGCAGGGCTAGATTTGTTGTTGAGTTGATTGTCTAAGCTGCAAACTCTGAATTTGAAAAAAAAAGTGATAAAAAGTCAATTCTCCCCTCCCCCTTTTAATAACATTGGATTAATGGTATGGGAACAGATTTTTCTGGCTCAAGTACAGAAGTGTATTCAGTTTCATACATTTAAAGATGTTAAGAGAACTTTATGCCTGTCACTTGCATTCCACCCACAGTCCCATGTAGATTAAATAATTTATCTGTATATTTTGGGCTCAACGTAGTGGAACTGCCTATTTGTTTCCTTCAAGAGGATGGCTATAAATCCTAAAAATACTGCATCATTTCCTTTATGGTCTGAGTTTAAAAGTAAATCCATAATAAAGGTCATTAATGTTTTTCAATGGGACTTTTGTGTTTGATTTCTAAAGAGAGTAACAATGTAAGAGTAGCCCATCTTAGTCTAGCATTTTGTTTCTCACAGTGGCCAACCAAATGCCTCTGGGGTGCTTTCACTTAGGAGGAGAAGACATATCTCCCAACTTTTGTTGGTATTTGTACACAAGGTACCATATCAGATATATTTGATTGAGTTGTTGGTCAAATGGATTAATAAATTGATTCCTCACAGATTCAATTATAGACTTTGTCGGAGAAGAGCCCACTTAGTTTATAATAGCTAAAAATCAGAAGGAGCCTGACTGCACTTTTTCAGACTAACACATTTTATTAAAAGGCCTACATCCAGTGATGAAAAAACATACTCCTTTTAATAAAATGTGTTAGTCTGAAAGAATGCTACCAGGCTCCTTCTGATTCAGAGGTTGTAATTTACCTTCAGGTTAGTAGTTTCTTGTCCATAGCATAATGATACTTAAACCAAGCACAACAGGGTATCTCATTAATTTATATTTTCTTCTGGAATTAAACGATTATGATAACTGCATGGCTGGAGCCAAAGCAACCAATCCACTTGCATTCCCTTTCTTTCTCCTGTTAACATTTTGTTGCAGAATGCATGTGTTCAGCTTCAGTAGACAATATGGTGAAAGATGGAAGAGATGTAAGATTCCTGTTTTCAGCACAAACACCATGTGTAAATATTATCATGTATAACTAAAATCTGTGGGGAAGTCTAAACAGGTGCTTTAAGGGTGCAGACACAGAACAGAAGGAGGAAATACAGGTTTTCTCCGTCTTAAGCACAAATAGTTTAGTAGGCAGACTGTGCTGAAAACGATCTTCTTCCATCACATTTTGAAATGTGTGTTCATTTTTAGAACCAGTTGTCAAAGGTGAAAGATAATAAGGTTCGTGCTCCTAGCAATGAGACAGGAATCAACTGCATATCCAACCATTTATCAGAAGTGTTTGCAATATAGCGGTGAGAAAAGTAAAACCTCCCATTTAACAAATATTTTAATCAGAATTTTAGAAAAAGTTGTATGTGCTCTCTGCTCTCTACAGTGTAACCATAGGGCTACAACTTTTCTTTACAGACTAGTCCAATGAGCGATGCATGTCTTTTCCCTTCTGTATCATTCTTGCATGATAGATCAAGCACATTGTGGCCTGTGTTTCTACACAGGTCTGACAAGGAGTTGGTTTGTTGAGGTTCTGTCCTACTGCTTAGAGAGTTCCTTGTTGACTACTTTCTAGACCAGGACTTCCTTATAGCAACCTGCATATAGAAACAAATGCCCTAACGTTTGTTTCTTGCCCTGAAGCTGCAACCTGTACATAGGGGCATTTGCTTCTACACCAGTGATTCTCAACCTTTTTGAAGCTGCCGCCCCCCTA